TCCCCTGAACTCCCACCTCCCACCTCCCATGTCCCACCCACCCCCACCCCCCAGGTGCAACCCCTTCGACCTGACCATCAGCAACGCCCACCTGCAGCGCGGCTTCAACAAGATCTACGACCTGAACCTCGCAGCCGGCCTCAAGCGCATCTTCTCGGGCCACACCCAGCTCTGGCGCAACGCGCGGCCGCCGCTGCGGCCAGACCTGGTGCCGGCCGCCAAGACCATCAGAGACTTTGATGAGGCCATCACAATACACAGCTTTGGTGGGTATATGTGTGGAGGGGGGGGGAGAGGGTGGCCAACCGGGCCCGAGGGCGGGGGAGCCCGCGACCGGCGCCGCTGGGGGCGGCCGCGCGTGCAGGGGGCGCCGCGGGTTTTGCGGGTGGCTTGCCGCCGCGGCGCGTGCTGGGACGCCGTGTGGTGGCCACGGCTGGGTCTCTGCGGGGTGGTTTTGGGAACCCTGTGGTATCCGGATGGTGTCTCCGGCGCTTCCCTGCGGACTAATGGAGTTCCAAATGCCCTGCCCAGCTGGCGCCCTGCTGCCCATCCCTTGTTCGGTCACACACCGCGCCCTGCGCGCCGCGTGCCCGACCGCCCTGGCCCCACCCACCCACACCCCCCCTCTCCCTGTCTGCACGTGCGTCCCATCCAGGCTGGCCGTCGGTCGACGATTACTACGCGGGCTCCAGCAGCGCCCTGCGCATCCCCAGGGTGACCATCCCGCTGCTGTGCATCCAGGCGGCCAACGACCCCATCGCCCCCGCGGAGGCGATCCCATACGACGCCATACGCGCAAACCCCAACGTTGCCCTCGCGGTCACGCCGACCGGCGGTCACCTCGGATGGGCGGCAGGCCCTGGGGCGCCGTTTGGGCGGCCGTGGACGGACGGGGCAGTAACGGAGTGGCTTACGAGCGTCAGGATTGAGCTGCTCAAGCGGCGGGCCGAGGGCGACGGCAACGGCCGCGGCGGCAGCAGCAGCAGCAGTGGCAGCAGCAAGGAAAGCGCGTCCCGCGAGCGGGCGCCTGTGGAGGCGGCGGCGGCGGCGGCGCAGAGCGTGGCTGCTGCGTGCGCTGCAGAGGGGGCGCCGGCTGTTGGCGCCATGCAGGCGGCTGCTGCAGTGGCCGGCTGGCAGCAGCAGCAGCAGCAGCAGCAGCAGCAGCAGCAGCAGCAGCAGCAGCAGGTGGCAGTGCCCTTGGTGCGGGTGGAAACCGACACATCCCCTGTAGACAGCGAGAGTGAGAGCGAGCGCGCCGCCACTCGCACCGGCGTGGCAGTGCAGTGGGCCATCTGACTTTTTTGAGGGACGCACACCTGTTTGAGAGCATTCCTTTCTCCTATATTCCAATACCCATCGTGGCCATTGCGGTAGTTCTGCGGCGTTTGGTAGATTCTTGGTTGATGGACTGTGTTTCGTCAGGATGGCACGCCTTGCGTCAAGGATGTCCATGACTGAGTGATCTGGTTCTGTGCGAATCTTCGGGTGGCTGCAAAGAGGCCATGGCCCGCTGTTTGGCAGTAACGAGTCGACGCAGGCACCCTGTGGCAGCATGATTGCAGCTCATGGCCAAGTTGCGGAGGTAATTACACCACAGGCACTACACAACTTGAACAACACAGCAGGCTCTTGTGACACCTCAGCGTTGCGGTTGGTGCATGGTCAAACGGGCCCCACCCGGAAACGATTAGCTTCCCAGACGCAGATGTCCAACCCCAGTGCAGCATGCGTGCAGGCGAGCCCGTGGCGGCGCTGTTCTGCTGCGGGCCGCAGGCAAACGTGTTCGCCGCGCCAAACAATTGTGAAGGACTCCTGCATCGGGACAGCCTCATGCACTTGTAGGGGGTCCCTGGCTGCTGTGCATGTGCTGCAGGGCAACAAGGACACACAGGTTGTATCTGAGGGTGGTAGGTGTTGTGTCCTAGAAGCGGGTGCTTATAGGAGACCCCTCTGAGCATGCAAGTAGTGAGGACTGCTGATAAAGAATAAAGGGGGGCCCCATGCAGGGATCAAGTTGCACAACTCCTGAGTGACCCTCCCTTTGCAATCGAACAAATATCTGCGATACTGTAGGCTCTGGCTGCTGGGCACTGGGCTCCCCTGCCTGCGGCGCCCTTCCTCGTTCCATCCCCCCTCAGGCGTGATATGAACAAGAACTGGTAGCTGCCAGTGGGTGTGCATGAAGGGTTTGCAGTGCCTCAACACACCTTGGCTACCTGCTGTGCCGGTGACAGCTGCATCACCCAGCTGCTCCACCTGCTCATGATTTTGATGCACCTGCATGGCTCCGCTGTTTCCCGGCCGTCGGCATCGGCTTGCCCTTTCATCATACCCGTGCAGTTAGGTGAGTCTTGCCAGTCTATCTGCATTGTGTTTGTAGCCCACAACGGGATGTCAGAGGTGAAAGAAGAGCTCGAGGCTCCAGAAGGTACCCCGGCTGCCCTTGCGGGGCCGGAAGAGGAGGATGTAGCGGGTGATGAAGGATTGTTGCTGGACCTTAAGCTAGGGCAGCGGAGAGCCGGCGCTTCGGAGGATGAAGACGATCTCTCAGATCATGAGGGCAGCCAGCAGCAGGACGACGGAGACAGGAAGGACGACGAGGAGGAGGGTGAAGTAATCGAGGCTGCAGCCTTGCATGCAGGGCCGCCTGCCGAGTGGGCCGCAGAGACGCCCGAAAGCGGCGGCGCGTCTGAAGCTGGCAGCGACCAGTTCGAGCAGGGCGCCGACGGTGCGGACGAGCCGGAGCCTGAGCCGCGCCCAGCAGAGCCGCGGCGGCCACTGCAACCATTTGAGGTGCCGGCTGGCGGCCGCTTCTGGCTGCACGACGACCGGAACGAGCAGCCTGCGAAGGAGCGCGGCCCCAGGTGCGCGCAGCATCCAAAAGGCGGCCTGCCCAACTGCCCCGCTGGCTCAGCCGCCTCTGTTCCTCGCCGGCCCGCGCCCTGCTCGATGCTGCGCGCTGTTGCGCTGCGCCGCCCTTGCCTGCCGCGCCCTCGCACCTCCCACCTCCAACACACCCTGCGCAACCTCGAGCTCCCGTCGCTCCTTCCTCTCACACGCGTACGCCGCGCAGCGCTGCGCCGGCCGCGCCCGTGACCAAGTGGAAGCATGATCTATACGACGAGATCATCAGGCGCGAAGAGCTGGGGATTCGCGAGGTGAGCCCACTGCCCCCAAAACCCCACCCCGAGTGCTGCGATGCAGCATGAGCACTGCAGCGCCCAGGTGCTAGCCGTGGATGTCAAGGGTCGTCCTATCGCTGAAACTTCTGTTTGAAGTGCACACGAAGACGAGAAAAGCGACCCCGGAGATGGAATGGCGTTGATCCGACCTGTTTACAGCAAGCCGCACCCCACCGCTTCGCCCTCCAACGCCCAACACAGCCGCTAAACGTGGAAGGGCTATGGCCGACGGGGCGGCGGGGCGGCAGGGGCGACCGTGGGGGCCGCAGGCGCGGCGAGGGCGGGCCGGGCCGAGGAATTGGCTACGGGGAGAGCGGGGGCAGCGGTCCCGGCCTTGGCGCTGGCGGCGGGTATGGGGCAGGCGACGGCGGGCTCGCCGCACCCAGCGGCGACCACGAGCGCGGGGGGCCTGGCGGCGCGCCTGCGCGGGGCCGTGGGCGCGGCGCTGGCGGCGGCGGGTTCGCGGGCCGCGGCCGCGGCGGTTTCCCGGCCCCTGAGTCGTCCTACGGGCAGAATCCCGCGCGCCCCCCGCAAGGCGGCCGCGGCGCCTGGCCGCCGCTGGAGGCTGGCCGTGGCGGCCGGGGGCGCGGCTACACTGGGGACGTTGTGGGCGGCGGCTCCGGCCCGGCCGTGGCCGGCCGAGGACCCCGCGAGCCGCCGCCGCCCGGCTTCGGTCGTGGCAGCCGCGCAGGCCCGGACGGCGAGGCACCGGCGCGCACGGCGGGCCGCGGGCCGCCGCACGCCAGCGGCCCGCAGCCGGCCGGCGGGCGTGGGAGGGGCTCGGGGCCACATGGGGATGGCGTCCGCGGCGGTGGCGGCGGTGATAGCAGCGCTCAAGGTGGCCGAGGTGGCGGTGCCGGCGCCGCAGAGGCGTGGGTCCCGGCCGAAAGGCGGGGCAACGTGCTTGTGGCTGTGAAAGCGCAGCGTGCGCCGCAGCAGCACCATCAGCAGTGGGAGCAGCTGGCGCAGCAGCAGCGGCAGGAACAGCAGCAGCAGCCGGGGCAGCAGCATCAGGGGCCGCAGCAGCGGCAGCAGCAGCAGCAGCAGCCGCCGTGGCAGCAGCGCACCTCAAACGAGCCACCAGCCCCGCAGTATCACCATCAGCAGCAGCGCCAGCAGCAGCAACAGCAGCAGCAGCAGCCTTACCCGCCACAGGACTGGCCGCCCCATAATGCGAATGAGGAGTGGTCCGAGCCCCAGCGGTGGCCTCCACAACAAGAGTGGGAGCAGCCCGCTGCTGCAGCTGTTGAGTATGACCCCAACACTTACAACCACTATCACCACCAGCAGCAGCACCAGCACCAGCCGCCGCCGCCGTGGCAGCAGCACCAGCAGTACGCCCCGCAGCCGCCACCTCAGCAGCAGTACAACGAGCACGACTGGCAGCAGGGCGCGCCGGCGCACCCGGGCAGCAGCAGGCCGCCTTGGCAACAGCCGTACCCGCCGCCCGCACCGCAGCAGCAATGGGAGCAGCAGGCGCCGCCCCCGCGGCAGCGGCAGTGGCTGCCCCCGCAGCAGCAGCCGCCGCAGCAGCCGCCCTACCAGCAGGCGTGGCAGCGGCCGCAGCAGCAGCCTGGCACGCCGTCCGCTCTCAAGGCGGACGCCCCCGCTTTCACGCCCAGCCGCGGCGCAGCGGACGCCCCGCCGCACGCATACGCCGAGGTGCGGGCGGAGCACCCGCAGCAGCAGCCTGGGCCGCCCCAGCGTGCGGCCCCGCCGGCGCCGGCAGACCGGCCGCCCTACGCACCGCCGCGCCCCTCGCAGCCGCCTCCCCCCGCCAACGCGCATTACGGGTCGGAGCACGCGGCGCCCTCTGGCGGCCCGCCCGCACCCAACGGCGCCGGGCCAGAGCCGGGAGCGCCTGCGCCAGCGCCAGCGCCAGCGGGGCGCCGCTACTCGGCAGTGGCGCAGCGGATGCGGTGACGTGTTCACAAGTGTGATGGGCTGATGGTGTGAGCTGACCCCCTCCTTTTTTGTTTGGGCGCATGTCGTGCTGCTGGCTGTGGTGTGCCCCTTTCACTTTAGCACCGCATTAGTAATATCAGACATCTGGCAGCGAACCGCAGCTGCCCTTCCCTGTCCAGCCCCTGCCTCTGCTGTGATCGCCGTGGCAAGTCGCGCGTGTCAATCGTGTGCCGCTCTTCTTATGTAACATTTGAAAACATACAACCAAAACATCGTCCTCAGGATGCAGCGAGCCAAGGGGTGTGTGGGGACATGCTTGGGGAGCTTCAACGCGTGTCGGGCCGCATGCTAAGAGCCGATCAAGGGGAGCAAGAGGGGACAGATGGCTTTGCCGTGGCCCTCACAAGCCCGGTCAAACAGGCGCAACGCATCCGGCCAAAAGGCCTACAGCTGGCTAGCAGGTCACAAACACTCGGTCTTGAGGCCACGCGCCGCCTGCGGCGTGCGTGCTGCCTGGGCATCGTCAGACATGTCATTTTTGAAAATTGCTACCTTACCAGCAGGCGGCGTCTCTCAGCCGCCGCCAGGGCTAATGCATTTCTTCGCCACGCACGCGCGTGCGCGCGCGCATGCAAAGCAAGGGTGGGGGTTGACCAAGGCTAAAACCGGCCGGATTCCGGCGGGATGTGACCACGACGGCGTTTTGCAGCCGCCGCGCGGGGTAGGCCACCCTGCTGCTGCCAGCAGAGACAGAGGCCGGCAAAAGGAAAGTGTGTGCGCCAGCAAATCAGCCGGCTGCGCGGGGGCGGCCGCTACTCGCGCCGGGGCAGCAGGCCCCAAGCCGCCGCGCCGGGCGGCGGCGCGGCTGCGGCCGCGCTCTCCTGCTGCAGCGCCGCCATGAGGTCTGCGGGGGACGGGAAGAAGGGCCACGAGCACACCACCCAGCGGGCCAGCTGCGCCCGGCTGAGGATGCTCCTGAGGGTGCAGCCCAGCGCGGCGTACGCGGCGTGCTCCGCGGTCAGCAGCCGCCGCAGGCCGGCGGCCGCGGCCCAGTAAGCGGTGTGGCTGCTCGTGTGCTCCTGCAGGCGCCGCAGCTCCTGCAAGGAGGAGAGCGGCGGAGGCAGTGCGCGGCGCGCTCGCACCAGTGGGCAGCACTCAGGCTACAAAACTTAGTCGTATTGGGCAACAAGTACAAAAGGCAAGCTGCGATGCTTCTCTCCGCTCCTGTGTGCCAAAAATGTCGCCCAATCAGTGACTTCATTGGGTTTGGGTGCGGTGAGGGTATCAGGGCTGGGCGCACCTGAGAGGCGCGCTCTCTGGTCGCCGACGCCAGCTGGCCGCGCTGCAGGTAGACCGCATAGCAGTCCAGCGCGCGCGCGCGCTGCGCCGACGACATCCCGAGCTGCACCAGCACGGTGCGCCAGTGGGCGTCCGAGGGCGCCGCGGGGGCTAGCGTGTCGAGGTTGGTGCAGAGCAGCACGCAGCAGGCGGGCCTGTGTTGAGGGGTTGCAGGGCGAGGGGCGCAGGGTGGTGGATACGCAAATTTGCACATCCCCATGCAACCAACCATCGGCAAAGTGGCAGGCTCTGCGCACGCGCGTGTCCTGGAAGGCAGCACTGCGAAAGCTGGATGAATTCGCAGGTCTCACCCGTACTTTGCAGCAAGGCGGTGCAGTGCATCGAGCAGCTGGTCCACTGCCGCCGCCACCGCACGCAAGGCGCCCCCAGCTGTCTCTGGCGAGTCGAGGAGCGGCATGATGGCTGCCAGGCGGCCCACGGCCTGCCTGTACCAGGTCAGCACTGGCTGGCTGCGGCGTCGAGCTCGTGCTGGCTCCGGCGGCCCAGCCAAGCTGCCCTGCTCCCGCGCCGCATCACCAGGTGCCTCCTGCTCTTGTAGGGGCAAATGACGTGGCTGCTGCCCCTGCTGATGATGGTGCTGTTGCTGCTGATGCTGCTGCTGCTGCTGCTGCTGCTGCTGCTGCTGCTGCTGCTGCTGCTGCTGCTGCTGCTGTCCCACCTGAAACCGGTGCTCCATGCGATCCTGTCCCCCAATGGCGCCCGGCATAGTCCTCAACCCAGCCAAGGGGCCAGCGATGTCTGGGCCATGGACGAGGGCCATGCTGGCTGAGGCGCCGCTGCCACCTGGGTGACCTGGGTGAGCACAGTGGGTGCGTGCAGAGGGTGAAAAGGGATGGGGCAGGCGTGGCATTAGCAGAGGCATTAGCAGATGCACGCAATCCTGTAGCCAGATGCGTTGCCGTCCTTGCGCAAGCCAGCAAGCACCATGACACGTGCGTCCAATACGCAGCGCAACCACAAGCAATCCAGAGGAGCCCCCTGCAGGTCAAGATGGCACTCTAACATGACCACCTGCTGATGCCAAGTGCACGATGCCTGGCCCCTCAGTTGTCACTTGGTAGCCCACAAACGCCCTCCGGTGCACCGGCGCCGAATGCCCACTTGCCACGAGTGGCCTCTGTTGCGCCATGTCACCGAGGATGCTGGGAGTCGCCCAGTCGGCGCTGTGTGAGCGCAGGGGCGCTGCCAGCTCTGCTATGCGAGGCGCTGCAACCCCCAGGTCTGCGCTGTGGGCGCGGGGTGCCTGCAAGTGCTGCAGATGTGCGTTCACAAGCTGCTGCTGCTGCTGCTGCTGCTGCTGCTGCTGTTGCTGTTGCTGCTGCTGTTGCTGTTGCTGTTGCTGCTGCTGCTGCTGCTGCTGCTGCTGCTGTTGTTGGTGTTGGTGGGGCTGCTGGTGGTGGTGGGGCTCATGCTGCTGCTCAGACAGGGGCACCGGTGCAAACGGCGGCTGCAGCTCTGACATCCACTGCTGGTCCGCCGCATCTGCATCCGCCGCTGCTGCCAACGCGGCAGCAGCTGCCGACACGGACGCTTCCGCCGCCTCTGCCCCACTGCTTGCGGCAGGAGTCCAGGCGGCGGCTGTACCAGTGGTCGCACCGGTGGCGCCGGCGGCAGAGAGAAGGTGCAAGTGGCAGTCACAGCCAGCAAGCGTCAGCTCAAGGGCAGCAGCTTGGCGCCGCAGCTCCTCATTCGCGCTGGTGAGCGCCGCCACCTGCGCCCGTCGCGACGCCACGTCCGCCAAGAGCGTGCTGAGCTGCGTATGCGTTGCAGTGGCCGCTATGACGTTAGTTGTGAGAGTGCGAGATGGGCTGGGGCTGTTGGCGCTGCTGAGGTTGAAGCGTGTAAACAGGTAGGTAAACCCGGCAGAAGGTGCCACCGCATGGGTGACCAGGGCTGCGCCTGTTGACGCCGCGGGGAATCGCTGGGCGATGGGCTCACCTTCTCTTTCTTCCGCTCGTAAAAAAGCCTGTGGGCGCGTTGCTGTGCCGTCTCGTGGGCGGCGTCGCCTCTGCCGAGGCTGCGGCTGCGCGAGATGCGGCCGTGCGTGGGGCCGGAGGCATTGCCGCCGCTGCCCCTATGTGGCCGACCGGCAGACCCGCAGCCCGCACTACCGCCAGTGCCAGCCGTCTCCTCGGGCGGGGCCCCACTGCCGGCGCCGGAAACATCCTCCCGTTCGCTGCCTCCTGCAACAGCAGGCCCTGCATCTGCGGCTTCGCGGCGGCGGCGGCGGCGGCGGCGACCACGACCTTGCTGGTCTGCACCGCCGCCGCCCTCAACAGTGTCGCCGGCGGACTCTGATCCGAAGGCAGAAGCCAACCACTCCTCAAATTCGACGTCCACGCTGTCTTCAACGTCGAAGTTCATGCCTCACAGACAGCCAGCTGCTCGTTCGCTGCAGCTGGTTTCACGGCTTGCAACATTTTGCCGTGATTCTCGCGCTAAGCGTCACAAATCTAATTATAATAGCTCAATACAGCTGCCCAATCACGCGTCGAGTTCGATTGCCGGGGCAAAGACCGGAACCGAGTCCCACCCAGAAGCTGGTCGTGTTTACGCGATAAAAACTCACCGCAGTTACACCGCCGTTCCGAGCGACAACGGGAATGAGGGTATATCTTAGAACAAGCTTTGCATCAATCACATGTCTGAAGTCAGTCGTTCCTGCTGAGTCGCACGGGACCTGATGATTGGAGTGAATGCCGTTGGCGCGAAAGGCCGGCACCTCAGCTGAGCGTCGGACTTGCAATCACAATTGTAAAATCATATGAAGCTACATGCCAGAGCCTCAGATGTTTCCGTTGTGAAACATCGTTACAGTGTGCTGCTGCGGGTGCTGCTGTCGCTGGTCAAGCTCCAGCTCAGCTGAGGTGCCTCCTGACAGCACCCCTTGCCCCAAGGCTTGCGCCCCCGCTGGGACCCAATGACCCTCCAAATGGCTGCGCTCAGGGACTAAGTTGCGCTAGTGCACTTGTCCCCAGGTAGGTGCCAGGCAACCATCTCGTTACTTGGCAGCACCTTGGCGATGTGCATCAAGAATGCTTTTGCCATCGGGCCGGAAGGCGCTCCTGTGCAAAGCAGGGAGTAGGACCAGGTGACCACGCTCCTCATGCCCACTCGAAATTGTTGGCACAGTCGGACGGACAATCAAGGCATATGCAGCAATTGCGTTGCACCGCCCAAACAGCACAAGTTAATGGTGCAATCAGCTCAGGTCAAACCCGGCTTTCGACTCGATGGAATACAGCAGCTTGTCGCGCATGCGCCGCTCCGCCTGCTCCGGCGACGGCCCGCCATAGGGGGGCAGCTTCAATGTGTTGATGCATGCGCTGCTCGTGGGCAGCCGCTCGGTGCCTGCGTCCTCGAGCACGCCCCCCGCCATGGCCACGCAGAGCGGCGGCTCCAGGTGCGCGAACCCCAGCAGCGGCGGCCGCGAGCAGCCGGTGGCGAACTTGAGCAGGCCGCGCTGCTGCGCCGGGGTGAGCGACGCGACGACCCTCCAAAACGCCTGTATCACCGGGTGGCCCTCGTCGTGGTAGCCGCCCGCATACACTGTGTGGGCCCGCATGTCCGCGACGTCCAGCCCGCCCTCCCCCGTCTCCCTGCCGCTGATGAGCGCCTGCAGCTCCCACTCGTTGAAGGCGGAGACCCAGCCCGGTTTGACCAGGTCAAAGAAGCCGCGCAGGAACGCGCTGACGGCGCCGGCCATCTGGCGGTTCAGGCGGAAGTCGGCCACGCGGTGGACGTACTCGACCACGTTGGACGACGTCACAGGGATGGCTGAGCCGCCGGGCTTGAGCTCGACCTGTGGACCAACGTGTGTGTGTGTGTGTGGGATGGGAGTGGTGCAGTGTTGGTGCCAGCTATATGCTACGCAACTGCAAGGATTAGGACGTTTCAAGAGTAAACATGCAATGCACACACACATGCATGCATGCATGCATGCATGCACACAGTGCGCGCTGGGTGTGTTGAGCCCAGATGCGCCCAGCACAGAGCAAGCCGCATGCAGGCAAACGTCCCAGCACAGTGCGTCGCACGATTTCATGTTGCGACACAGCAAGCAAGAAAAGGGGGCATGGAAACGGCAGGCCAACCTCTGTCAGCGCCCCCAGACGGTCCTCCATGATGGTGAAGCTCAGCGACAGATCAGCAAAATCGCCTGTGGATGTGTGTGCGTGCGTGCGTGTGTGCGTGGGTGCGAGCGTGTGCATGCGCATGTAAGCGCACGCACGTGCGTGCGCTCGTGCATGTGTGTGCCCGGAGGGAGGGGGCAGGTGTGCCGTTTGCACGTGCGTGTGTGCCTGGGACAACAGCAGGACAACAGTTGCGGGACCAACACGGATGCATGTAGAAGCTCAAGAGATATGCTGGAGCAAACCCCCACACGCAAGCACAGCAACCCTTCACACCCAAACGCAGGGGCACCGCAGCCCACTCCAACGGGATCCCCAAGCACCACCATCCGCCGACACCCCGGCCTGGACACTCATCCACCCTCCCACCCCAATCC